AATGGGATGCTATTTAATCCAAAAGGAGAAATCTTAACAAGTGACCAAGACAAAGCAGAGGAACTCAACACCTACTTTGCCTTATCTTTACATCCAAAGGAAATGATGATTTAAGCAGCACAGACAGGGAAAAACTGAAACAGGGAAGAGTGCAGGTCAGCAAAGAAATGATAAAAGATCTAGCTAAACTGAATGCCTTCAAATTCCCAGGTCCCAAAGCTGTTAGAAGAGCTAACAAGTTCTGCTACATTAGAAGTGCTGCATCAAAGATGCATAAAGTCCTTATTATTCTCTATTCTCTGTTGAGACTACCTCTGGAGTATTGTGTATGATTCTGTGTATCACATTTCCAGAAGGATATGGACAGGTTACAATAGGTCAAAAAGATGATATTAATCTGAGGACATGCTCTGAGGACATGTTGAAGGAATGTGGTATTTCGCATCTGGAGAAATGAAGACTAAAGGGAAATCCTGCATCAGTAGTTGAGGTAAACAGTGCAATAGGGAAGATAGTTAAGAAGTATTTTGCATTGTTATTCTGGGACAAGAAATAATGGATATTAAGGTGCACCATTTATTTAATTTAGATATAAAGAAAACATTCCTGATGGTATGAACTGTATGACAGCGAAAAAGTCTACCTACAGAAGAAATGACTCTCCATCTCTGGTAGTTTTAATGAAAAGGAGTCACTGCTTGAGCATAGTTCAATGGGTTTTCAGTGCACAGCAGAGGACTGGCATAGATGATTCCAGTGGTTCCTTCCAATTCCAAGGCTTTATGAAGAAGATAACATAATGCTATTCTGCTTCATAGATTTATAAGAATTTCCACCAAATGGCTTGGATCTTAATTTTCATCGCAGAAACAGAACAAATTTAGCTTAACTAGAATAAAGGATTTGAATCCATGCACACTCATACGTGCACATCAAAAATCTGCATCTGCAAATTCAAAAACTTTTGGGAATAATGTCTAACATGATGAGAAGCATTCCACAAATGCTTCCTTTACTAAGGGAACCCTATATGAACGTGCTGTTAAACTGCTATTACTTGTTAGGTAATTTCATTACTAGGTAATTGGAGAATTTCTAAAAATTAAAGAAATAAGGATAAATATTCTTTCTACTATATTTGCCAATATTAGAAAAAAAAACACTGTGTATGCATTTATAACATGCTCTTGCATGATCTACAGCAATAAGTAAGCCACCAAGAATCACTTGTTTGAAACGGGTGGCTACAGGAATGAATGAGTGAAAAACAAACAAACAACTGCATTTAAAGTAGTGGATTTTTTAGGTTCAGCATGAAGAAGCAGTTCTTTCCATGAATTACAAAATAAATGTCCTCAGCCTGCATTATTAAAGAACAGCAATAATTTTATGTTCTTTTGCTCTGCAGTTTCTGGAACATGATTCCAAGAAGTTGTATTTCCTAGAGAAGTGAAGCCTGACACCTCAGATGACCAAAGGAAACTGTTGCCCAACCTTGAGGAGTTAAAAGAGCCAAACTCTTTCTCCTTCATCCTGTGATGAGTGATTCATCTCATCTCCCTGGAGGCTCGTGTTGGATGTTTTATGCGTCATGCTTGCAAGAAGCCTGGAAAAACGCATATAACTAACCATCCTCTTAAAACGAACTGCTCATGGCAGGGATAGTACAAAGCATTACTGCTGACTTGGGTTGAAACGTGCACATTTTCTCACTTTATTTACTGCAGCTGATTTTGATGTGCATACATTATGTCATAAACCACTTAAACCAAAGTTGGTGCATAGCAGACTCTTTTTCAATTTTGGCCTATTTCTGAAATTGTCAGAAAAATGCAGATTAGGTGTGCATTTAAAGAGTGCCTGTAATTGAGCCCAGATTTGCAGTCATAATTCATGGTAGTTGTTAAGTAGGCCACCTGATTCTTATGACCTGTTTTGCAGCCGTCATTAAGCGAACACCACAGTTGTTAAGCGAACACTTCAGTCATTATTGCAATGCTCTCTACATGGGGCTCCCCTTGAGGTGCACCCGGAGGCTCCAGCTAGTTCAGAATGCGGCTGCGCGGGGCATTTTGGGGGCCTCTAGATGCTCCCATGTAACACCTCTCCTGCGCGAGCTGCACTGGCTGCCGGTGGCCTTCCGGGTGCGCTTCAAGGTGTTAGTAACAACTTTTAAAGCGCTCCATGGCAATGGACCTAGGTATTTGCAAGACCGCCTCCTACCAAACACCTCCCTTCGACCAGTCCGCTCCCACAGAGAGGGCCTCC